CATAGAGATGAACCAGCCTAAGGCTGAAAGTCTCGTTAATAAAAGAAAAAAAAAAATGAGAGAATTCCATATGAACCACATATGAATTTTATTCACAATAAATCGGCATGAATTTCAATGATTTGCCTTACGAAAAATAATGTCGACAAAAGAATAATAAAACGAAGCAGACTGTAACCAAACCATGGCCGTTGAGATTATGGGTCCTGTTGCGGAACCACTCGGCTATCAACGCTTGGGAAAATGGAATAGTCAATGGCGTATAAGAGCTAGATCATGTTAGACGAAAATCTTTCATAAGTCGTGCTTATGAAATTCATATGCGTCGTTCATAAGTCGAGCCTTATGAAATTCTTAAGTCTATTTGCATCAGTGTAACATTGGTAGTCAGTACGGAAAACAAGATCGACGGAAAACAAATCAAGGAAAGTTGATTATAGCGCAAGTAAACTATGAAACTACAATAATCTCAAGCGATCTTAGCCTTAGAACTTCAAAGACATTCCTTTATTCTATGGAGATTAGTATCCAATCATCCACATCTTCTGCATGTTTCTTGATTACTAAGAATGTTGTTAGCAGAGAAACTCTCTGCTAATGAAATTAAATTCATGTTATTATTTTCCCACAATTTTTTTATTCAATTTTAGGAATACAATTGAAGGAAGTAGACAAAATAGTGGTAAAAGTTAGGCTAGGTTACTTTATCAAAGATAGTTGTAAAGGTTTAGTAGTATTGTAATCATATCTTTCTTTCTCCTGCGTTTCTTCCAGAATCCCTTCTCTGGCATTTTTCGTCAAATGTTCTGGAATTCTTAGTTTAGTTAATTATTTTTCTTCATAATTTTTTTTTTCATTATTGTCTGAGTTAAAACATATATTTTTAATAATTAAAGCCATCATTTTAACTTGAGGGTTCGTTTTTAAATATTCTAGTACACTTCTTTAAAATATTCTAGATACCACTGATTACACTCTACTTTGAAGATATTCTCAATCCACATACATGCCACAAGTCTTTCTGACTTGGGCAATTTGTCGATCCAGGGGCGGACAAATTTGAGCAAGATACTATAACTGATGTAAGAACTCAGCACTCACCAACTACCTACTCGGAGATCAAACATACAGCACCCGGTCGACTCAGGCGACAAGAGCAAGCTCCGGAACACCCAGGGTCGGCTAGCTACCGGGTAATCAGAGGGTTTTACGATACAAAAACGAAGAGCTTTCACTTTTCTTTAAACGCATTTATTCACCACTTTCTGTATTATGTGCGTGTTGTTCTGTGTTCATAATTTCGTGTAATATGTGTCGTGTAGCCTAATCGCGTTGTTCGCTGTACCGGTACATACTGCTGCCGCCGTTGATGGTGAATCGGGATGGCCAACACAGTGACTCCTGTCCTACTGTGCGGCCGGAACTCTCGCCAGATTGGCGAAGCGAGCGGATGACGGGCCAGCGGGCGTTGCTGAACGATGGGATGGCAGGCGTCGTCCTTCGTTGGCACGATCGGCCGACCGTGGCAAGGCCACCTTGGTCAAGCCGAGAAGGGAAAACTCTTTAGCGATTATAGCCTACGTTTGGCCAGATAGTAGTGTTTCGGTCCTTAACAATTAGGCTCGGAAACTGTTTCCAATATTTCTCGAGCCGGCCGTGTGCTGACGGATGACCTTTTTAAGGTCCAATATAAAAAAAGAGGTCCTGAACGTAAGCTTACCCTAGCGCACCTAGCTGCTGCTAGGGGGGGTCCTGGTTCACGTTCTAAAACACCAACCACTGCACTTACCTAATTAAATGCGTCTTAGCACACGGACGCCTGATATTAAAAGAGGCCGATTTTGGGCAATGGCCGTTCTTCTCCCCAATTTTCTTTCATCCCGTCATCCTAATTTTCTATGGTTGTTTGTAGTTCTATTGTGGACATAACGTAACGGCACAACATTTTCACAGCGATACAAAACCCTATCACTTTTGTGGTATACTGCTGTTCTTGCGCCACAAACGTGAAGGTTCTTAATATATAACATAAATGACAAAAACCTATGAATTTGTGAACAAACGGTTACAATACAATAGTTTTAATAAGATGGAAATATTCAAAATCCTGCATTTTTTACTCAAATTCAAGTATCTCGTGTTGTGTTTCTTCAGTGTGTTTTATGTTATCAATTACTGCATTTTAAACTATCTGCTTCATTAATAATCTGAGGTCCCAGTTTTGCCTGGTTGACCATTTAAAAAGATGATTTAGTGAAATGTATTATTAATTTGAAAGTTCTTGTGAAAGTCTCAAAAAAAAAACAATAAACGATCGAATTCGGAATCATCAAGTATGATAATATCTAAATCATCTGTAAAAACAATTTCCTTAACCATAAACTAAAAAACTTACCAGACACGAATGCCACGATGATGGTAAAGTGTCGTTGCTTCGTTATTTGACATTTCCCTTATGTGAAAAGAACTATACTGATTTTTTTATATCGTCAGTGAGAAAACCGTTTACTAGCACTTTTGGTGATGCTATTTTGTATATATTTTTAATGTAATCTATAATTGATTATGCAAAACAAAATTTATCCAAAACTTGCCATAAATAGTTGTGATCAACCTTGTCAAAAGCCTTGTTTACGTTTATGTTCACAAGACATTCCTTGAAGCGTTTCTATTCACAAGTTTTAGTTAACACTCTTCGAAGATCTTTCAAGTTATTTATACAGGATTTGTTTTTTGAGCACCGTATTCTTTCTGCCAGTATTTTCATAAGAAGTTCATACAGATCGATAATCGTCCAACTATTTGCTTTGTCTTCTTTGTTTGGATGGCAAAAGGTTTCCGATAAATATGAGTTAAATATTTGTAACAAATCCTTCTTAAAACACAAAAATTCTTCAGATAAAACGCATTATTTAGTTTATCCGGACCAGGAGATTTTTGTGTTGAACACAACTTAAGCATTCTGTCCAATTCTATTAATATTATGGGCCTTGTCAAGTTTGCTCTATCGATGTCATCTAACCTATTAGTTACACTATTTGTGGGGTCCTCAACGTCAATCGAAATGTCAGAACTTTGTTCAAGATTGAAGTGTTTTGCGTATTAATCAAGTTCAATTTATATCAGCTCCGCTGTTTCAACAACTATCGAGTTATCTTTTATAAGTTTCAAATTATGATTCGTTCCCATTATTTTAATCTGTGTAGAAATTTGAAAAATATGCATATATTCTCCTTACACGAGGTTTGAATAATGCATATTATTCCCAACATATTTCAATCTATTTGCTTCAATTTCAAAAAGACTAGAATTAATCTTTAACTAATCATGTTTGTATTAACGTCGGAAATCAGATTTAAAATGGTTATTTTATACAAGGAGATGAAAGTATAGAGCTGATAGTTCCGATAGAGTACGGCAGTGTAAAAATTGTATTTATATAGAGAGTAGAAAGCTAACAAAGGTCAATTTTGAGGAAGGCACGAATTGGGTTGGTCATCTCGTTTATCAAACTCCCCTGTTTTGGAGGGATGATGAGGGGTATCTCCCCCCATGTTTGGTATCAATCAATCAGTTTACCTTCCTATAGTACTACCAACCGATGGAAACTAATGATTTTAAATTGACTCACACTTGACTAGCTTATCTGTCGCAAGTAAATCCATTTACGTACCCCATTCCAGTCAAAATTTTAGTACTACACTATGTTTGTATCGATTCGCTATGAAAGATTGACAGATAAAATGAGGGGTTCGTGGATTTTCCTATGTTTCGAGGACGTTCGGGAGCTTCTGGCCTTAGAGTTACCTCTATGGTGCTACGGTGATGTGCAATTCACAAAAAAGTCGTACCAAAATCCGTCCAAGTGATCATTATCATTTGCTGTAAACTCAATCGACCAGCAAATGCTAATCAGAGTAATTAGTAGTAGTATTAGCACAACAGCAGATGTTCTTTCCGTCAAGATTGAAAAGTGAACTGTTTAGACGAGGTGAATCTAAAGGCTCTTTTAAATCAATGGTAAAGTAATCTGATTCTTCCCAATCAAGTAACAGAAATAACTTTGCAGGCATAACGAATTGTGGCTTGGTAAGCTGATACAGATTGATTGTCCCTGATAAAAATTTTGATACTATTTGAATTGTATTTGTATACATAAAATATTACCTACATTGAGTTACAGGCGACAAATAAACACTGTCTTCATTGCAAGATTAAAACTGTAATTCAATTAAATCTAACAGCTGGCGTTATTGTGACGCCTAATTTAAGAATTGACATTGCAGTATAATAGCTTAAATTTCTCTGATCATCATTTTCGATACTTTCAATCCGTGATGTTTTTTGTAGAATGTATACCAAGTCATTGTATCAGGGTCATCTCCCACTCTATACGGTCCGTTCAAATTGCTGTAGGAATGAAAGTAAAAACATTGAAAAGCGTATACTATTCGACCAAAAGCAGAATTTCTTACCTCCAATGACAATTTTCGTACCACCATCCACCATGATAAAGTGATGCACAATTTCCTGAATTTTCATCATTGTCCTTATCGAGGGTTGTAAATTTCTTTCCCTTATGACCGGTCAAAGCGTCGCCCAAAGTACCGCTGTATGATTCCAGTATTTTCAGGGCATATTGTTCGCTCTCATCACCGATGACAAATTTTCCGTATTTGGCGTACTTCGTGACTCCAGTGTGGTCTTCCAAGTGGATCAAAAGTTCGTGCGTTCTGATAGACGTCAGTTGATGTATCATTTCCAATCCCAACCAAAATTCTCCGTCCAGACTACCAAATCCTATCTTGTAGTCGGTCCAATTCTTTAAAAAATCAACCGATCCGTTGAACCGATTTTGAATAACAATCCAACCACCGCCATATAATGTCTGTTCGCAGTACGCTTCAAATTTAAGGAGAACCGTTGGTGTTAACCAGTAACGGCCTGTTTTTTTCGATTTCAAATCAACACAAGACTTCGCGGTACAGGAAACCCCATAAAGATTTCCATTCAACATCGCCATCAGAAGTTTACTATTATCGGATGGATGTTTACGAGGATTCAGTTCAAATATGGCATTCATTATTCTCTCATGGCTAGCAAATATTTTCTGTTGTTCCAATATCTCACTAGGAAATTAACACAGCATTAAAAACTATGCAACACATACGTCCGATTTTGGAATCCAACGTATGATGGCATTGATGTGCTTATACTCTGTTGTTCCAAATATTACACGTATTTCTATAAAGCGAAATTTTTTGCTAACTCTTTGGAAAGCTACTTCTGACCATAGTAATGTCATATATATGAGCTCTAAAACTTTTTAATTCGAGAGCGTCTTCGAAGGTGGGATAGGGATGACTGTGTTTGTGAAAAATTATGAATTATTGATAAATTTAGAAAGTAAAGAAAACCTTGCCAAAATCGAACGCTGACTTCAAATTTGCTGGCTTACCTGGTTTGCACCTGTAGTTCTAATAATCTGGCAAAAATAAACACATTACTATCGATACAGACGTTGATTTGAAACTTGGTCGCTTACTTGTATTCTAGGTAGTCCAATTTTACAAGGAGAAGTTCGTTTCCGAATCCCGTATTTGTTTCAGTACTATTGGCGGTTGTGGTCCAGCAAACGCTGAATAAACCCAATACCAACAGATGAATCGATACACTTAGACGCATTTTTGTAAGATAACTGAGTTGGCTAGCCCACAAGCCGAGGCTTAAATAGCGATGAAATCAAACTGCAACAACAGATAAGGCAAACGGATGTGGCTTCTGGTACAGTTTTAGACGCTCGCACGCAGATCTATGGCTTTTTGACCAATAGTGTACATCAAATAATTGAAGCCAATTGAAGAATTTAGTTCTAACGGAATTTTCAATAATCTCATCGCAAATGAAAGGATTTAATTTTATTAAGTTTCTAAATGCTTTTGTAAATATGAATTTTACACCGACTTCTAGATATAGGAATTAAAAGATTTGCCACCAAAAATAAAATTTTCAATTTAAAACTCCTTTAATGATGCGAGTAAGAGGTTTTGCAACTTTAAAAAATGAACTGACGTTTTTCATAGCGTTTTTTTTTGTCGTGGAGTCCATATTGTCTTTCGATTGTTAAAATCGTGATCTCTTTGATTGAATACAACTACCTTTTTACCGATTTGAATTGCTGCATCATGCTAAAAATGTACTTCGGGAAAGTTCTTTTCTGCGACAAGATTTGTTGCACACTTCGTCGCACACACACACACAATGAGCCTGACCTCAGAGGCAAACCACCTTCTGAAAGTGGCTAAAATTTAGTAAAGAAAAATGTTTCGGCAAAATTTCCAGGAGTTATGGTACTAGTACCATAGAGGTAACTCCAAGACCAGAAGGTCCCGAAGAAACGTTCCCAACTTTTTGGTTCAGCTCTGGTACTATCTTCGGTCCCATGCTAATCGATGCACCCCTCGAAACATAAGAAAAACCAATAACCCCTCATTTTATCTGTAAAACTTTCATAGCGAATCAAAACAAACATTGCGTAGTACTAGAATTTTGACTAGAATGGGGTTCGCTTATAGATGTTCTTAGGGCCAATAGGCTAGTCAAGTTGTAAGTTTCCACCGGTTGCTAGTACTTTCTGAATTGTTCTTCAAATTAATTATTTCCTTATTTTTCAAAAAGAACAGCATTAAGACTAACTTCCTGTTGAAAAACTTTTGATTTCAAGAAATATTTGAGGTCCTGTATTCAGTAAGGCCAATTAGATGATTGATAAACGTACCCTACTACGGGGTTTTTTTTAAAATAATGATGAATAGTGAAAGCCTGATAGAAAGAGGTCCATAATAGATCAAATTATCCTACATTTCTTCCCCTGAAGGAACGTAGCAAATGTGGTTTTCATCGTTTTCAGCAATGAAATAGTGAATTTAAGTCTTAAAAACAATTTGTAAACCGGGTTGGTGGATGGGGTACGGGGCGAAATGAACACCCTTATGGGGCATAATGGACACCTTACTAAAAACTGGATTAGACTTAGAAATTGACTCTATAACATATGTACATACCTACGCGAACATGTCCCCATCCCTCCCACATACATACAACCCTCACACACACACATACACACACATACACACACATACATACATACAAAAACGCGAACATAGGGGAGACATTTCTTAAGCTTTACTTCGTAGCTTTACAATAAGCAACTCCAAAAGAGTATGTAGAATAAGTTCAATTTGTATAGGGGGTCTAATGGAAAATGCTCATGATTAACTACCTTAACGAGAGGTGCTTACATACCGAAAAGTGCCCTGGAAAGTAAGTAGTTATTGAATCACGGCAATTGATTGACATGATGAAAGCCCGATTCTAAAACTATTATTGAAACTATGATTGACAGTGGGGTTAGTTTAGTAAGTTTTTAAGTAAAACTAATCAGATTTCAACCAAAACAGTAACAGATTTTTATTTAATTCAATTCAATTTCATTGGCAAACACACCTCTGACGATGTTACCGAAATAAAGAAAATAAAACCAATTCACGAACAATCACATAATGAAGATTAGCTACAAATTGATGCCTTATTGAAAGGCACACGAAGGGCAGCGAGGTTCCTGGCATTCATGGAACCACAAGTAGCACTTGGAACATTTGATCCAATCCTGTCCTTTGTCAGAAGAACTGAAACAACAGCCATATATTTCGCAGAGCGTACGGTGCTTTAGTTTGATTGCTCTTTCCTTTCGGACGTCCTCGTTTGCGTTTGGGTGTTTCGGCATCACTGTTAGAAATGTGTCTTGTTTCAGCTTTGATCACCTTCTTTAGCTGATCAATATCCTTCAATGCCTGCGATGACTTCAACTCATTTCGGCTGGGGCTTGATGTTATGTTTCGAGCTTTCTCCCTCTTTCGTCCACCGCCAACTTTTCTGGTAACTGTTTTCGTTAGCGGTAGGATTTCCACAGGAGACACTTTGAAGATGTTTCGGACAGACAAACCGGCTGGAACAGTGAATCGTTGATATCTCCTACCTCATTGTGCATTCGCGAAGGTCCTGCTTCAGTATCGGCTGCGTTGGATTCAAGAACTTCGTCACCAAGTTCATTGTTTGAACGATCGGTTTCTTGGTCTGCTGGAAGAACGTCCGTTACGTCAGCCGGCGCAAAATCATTATCGTTGAATATAAACCGGTTCAGCGGAAAAAATCCTGCCTTATGGAATCCGTTGACACCAAGAGCCGCGTTAGAAGTCTTCATGAAAGCCGAACCGAAAAGCCGGTTGATTTCGTTCAGGGTGACAACCCTACCAGGATTGCATTTGAGGAAACTCTCCGCTTCCTTCGAGAAAGCCGTCTTGAGCGGCCCCATGTAGCTTATGTCAAGAGGCTGTAGTTTGTGGCTGCAATGGGGGGGGGGGGGGGCAAGCACACGACTGTCACATGGCACTCACGCGCTCTTTCAATAAAGTCAAGGTTCTTCGTATGCGAAGAAGGACCGTTCAAAATCAAAAGAATCGGGTTATCAGCTGTTGAACGCGTGTGCTTTAGAAAATGCTCGAACCAGGTGTTGAATTCTTTCACAGTCATCCAACCGGAAGAGTTGCAGACAAATACCGTGTCTGGTGGAGCACCTTCCATAAGACTGGTAGTCAAACGGGCCCTAGGGAATATCATCATAGGTGGCAGTATTTGTCCCGTTGCTGACATGCAAATGCTTGCAGTGGAAAGTAGCCCTCTTTCCGCCGATGTCACAGCTCCTACCTGTCGTCGGCCTTTCAAGGCAAACACTTTGGAACGTTTCGTTTGCACCTAAGAATACAAAATGAGTCAAAACATGCATTTTATTTGAAAATGTGTACAACTTACGGTGAGCACAGAGGTTTCATCAACGTTGAAAATCCTGCTGGCACTGAATTTGCCTCCGTCCATTTCACGATGCAGCACATCGAAGAAGTTGTCGACCGCTATCTTGTTGAATGCTTGCAACCTTGCAGCTGAGGTAGCCTCAGGAGTACGGAGCGAGAGTTTGGGATGACGCTTCCGAAAACCGTGAAGCCAATCCTAACCAGCCAGCTGTGTCTTCGTATTGAAAACATGTTCTTTCCCGTTGCGTTCGGCCAGCTGGAAGGCAAGGCTCCGGATGTCGCGGGTGGTAATTCCGTAGCATCGAACCTCAAAGTCCAAAATGTGGGCCATCAAAACAGCTTCCTCGGCAGGTATGAAAACTGTTTTGAATGAGCCGATTTTCTTCACCTCCTGGCCCAGTACTTCTGCAGTTTTCACATAGCGGATCAGCGTAAGTCTTGAAATTTCATGGTCATTGGCTGCTCGTTTGATAGACGTTCCACTCGGGCGGACAGAATCTATGGCCGCTTCCATGGCCGCTTCCATGGCCGTTTTGGATCACTGCTGCCTTCCCGATTGTCTTTTGTACGTTCGCACCATCACTGCCACCAAAACACTGCGTAGGTAAACAATGTAAACAAGTCAACAAAGTGGGCGTTGAGGGTAGATTCCAGAAACAAGTGGTGTTCATTTTGCCCCTACTAGAGGTGTTCGTTTCGCCCCTAATCGACTATATTAATTTGAATGCATTTTTTTTTAAATAAATTATTGCAAAAAACAATATTGTGATTAATGTCAAATTTCAGCAGCGATACAAAGAACGTGTTTGGGACAAATAGGTAATTGATAATAAATATTCTGAAACGTTCGTAAAACCTTATTTTGCTCTGGTTAGAAATTATAATATTTCAAACCCTTGGGTTATGATTTCTAATTTTTCATATATTTCGGTGGTTAAAAGAGGATATCAACTGTTCTATTGAAAAATTATATGTTTGATAGTGGTAAAAATGATTAACAACTTACATTTCCGTTTAAATTTAAAAGATTTTGTTATTTTGAGGGTGTCCATTTCGCCCCGTGTGTTCATTATGCCCCTAATCCCCCTAATTCATAAATAAATTCGGGCAGAGGTTGTCTCACCATAGAGATCCAAACGCCTTTTTGGCCACCAAACAAAGCAAGCAAGCTACCCTTGTATCACGAATTTTCCCATACTTAACACAATTAATTAATTTAGCTTTATTTAGGAGGCTTTCAGCCTTAGGCTGGTTCGCCTCCACCTACTTAACACACTTACTGTGCGTGTATGTGTGTATTCCTTCCAACCCCCACTGGTCGGTAGTGTTATTATGGTAGAACTATCTCTACAAAGTCGGATTTATGGTCATCAAGGAATCTAAAATATCTTTAAATAACAACAAGACAAGCGAGCAACGAACCGAATGATAACGCTATGTCAGGAGTGGAAAGCAATAATGATATAAAATTTGAGTTCAATCGGACATGATTTAGGGGTGGCGCAAACGCGTCAAAGTTTGACTTTTTTCACTCTCGAAAATCTCCCAGATACATGATACATGCGTTTGGTAAAAAGTAATGGTTTTTACATACCTATTTTGATTTTTGGACCACCCTAATGAAGAATAATTGGACCACCCTAGTGAATTATTTCGTATTAGATCCTAAATGGTGGTTTAATTCGATATATAAGCAGGTTGGAGACAATTGTGAACAGTTTTAGAAGCCGACTCATCAATCTTCTGTATTCCATATAGAACTCGTGAAAGTCCCAGAAAGTCGATTTTTGAAAAAAAAAAAAAAAAAAAAAAAATTGTTTCGAGATAACACCA